CACACACACGCACGCACACGCACACGCGCGCCCGCGCCCGCGCCCGCGCACGCGCACGCGCACGCGCACGCGCACGCGCACGCGCACGCGCACGCGCACGCGCACGCGCACGCGCACTTTCACGCGCACGCGCACTTTCACGCGCACGCGCACGCGCACGCGCACGCGCACGCGCACGCGCACGCGCACGCGCACGCGCACGCGCACGCGCACGCGCACGCGCACGCGCACGCACACACGCACACGCACACGCACACGCACACGCACACGCACACGCACACGCACACGCACACGCACACGCACACGCACACGCACACGCACACGCACACGCACACGCACACGCACACGCACACGCACACGCACACGCACACGCACACGCACACGCACACGCACACGCACACGCACACGCACACGCACACGCACACAGACACAGACACACACACACACACACACTCACACACACACATTCACAAAACACACAAACACACAAACACAACACACACACACATTTTCTTCCCGTGGGCGCGTGCGGCTCGAGGTCGAGCCCCAGGGGAGCCCGCTCTTCTCGCATGGACGCTCAAGAAAGCGCTGGCGGTCCTTCGGTTTCAGATCGAACCCCAAGCGGCTCAGTGGTGCAAGGAAAACAGATCGAGGACGAGGGCCGACGCCTACCGCCAGCCTCGCCACGACCTGCATCCCATACATCGCCTTGGAGAACACATACAACGTGTGGCAAGCCGGCCTCCCAGCAACGGTGTCGCACGACTCATCCAGTCCATCTTCATTAGTTTTTTATACGCACCCTCAACTTCAACGAGCATACGCGCATACCGCTCACACTACGTCCAGCTCGTCCCCGCATCCCGTGATCGCCCCAGATATCATCAGTTGGCCCGTGCCGACAATACACTACCGGTGGGCGTTGCAGGAGGTACACAAAGTTCAGCGTTTTATCCAGACGCCTTCGCCAGAAGGGGCCACAGCAATTCGAATGTGGGGCATGGTCCATGGTACCCCAGGCAGGGCTTCCCGCCCTGCAGCTGTGTTTACATCGCTTACTGGCTCGCACGTTTCCTCGTGGCAAGAAGTATGGAGTCACAGAACCAAGCGTGATGATCAGTATTTCTCATATCTTCATGGCAATGGGCGTGATTCGACTAGTGTATGCTGCCAGTCGCGATCTATCCATCCGAGGCGCAGGCGATCGCGATGGAGTCCCTGGTCATCAAATTCGCCAATCCTGAGTGCAACAACCGTGATCAAGGATATCAGCGGCGTGGGGCTCGACAAGGTACACTACTGGTACCACGGCGAGAAGCAGGTCGACGTCGGCCTCCACCACGACTACGAAGGCCCAAGCAGGCACAGTCAATTTGGGCGTCACAAGTGTTCCAGGCCGCGAAGGAGAGGTCCGATGGCGAACGTGAGCGTCGGGAACGGTTATTGCATCATCCTGGGCAACTTCGCGGCGCGTATTCCGAGGTCTATCGTGGCATTATGAGGCTCAGGTTGGTGGAAGATCGCAGATATGGCCCGATCAGCATCTCCGAGGGAGGTTTCTTCAATCCTTTTATCGCTTATTGTGCATCAGACCGCCCATGCGTGAACTTTCCCCCATCATGGAGTGCGGACACGATTGCTGGCTTCTTGCACCGTGCAGGGGAGCTGGTCAATGGTTTTATTCCAGGCGGGGCTCGCCGCATGGCGGCCATCATGGTAATCGAGTACTTACTACGTCAGCATCGTTTGGCACCGTTCAATGCACCGCCGCTCGTCCTACCAGCATATGTGGAGGGCGATTTGCCACGTCTATGCAGGAGGATTTCGATGATATTAAGATCGATCAGGACTAGCAACGTTCGAGATTGGCTACGACGCCGGCTACGTGTGCAGAAAGGTCGGCCTGATCGATGAGTCGACAAGGTGAACTCGAAGAAAGGCGTCCGCGAGTTCACGTTCGACTGGATGTTCTCTGATCCTGAGGAGATTGGCCGAGCGTGCCAGACCCGCTCGTAGCGCGCAGAAGTTGCGCCGTGGCGCTTGCCCGTGTGGCGCACACCTGCCACCCTTGGCGGCAATGCAGTGCTCGGTGGGCTGAGTGGGCCCGTCGCGTTCGGCTTCCCTTTCGGGTTTTCCGCCGGGGTCGACAGGTTTGGTCCGAATGTCGTGCCCAGACTATCCCAGCAGGTGCCACGCCGCCGCCAAGTGATTGGTCCTGGTGGGAAGCCCGAATGAAGGAATCCCTATCCCCTGGCACATTCCGTGTTGGGGGCGATCGGGATCCCGCCAAGGTGTGGATTATGAACCGTACGGATCTGAATAGGACGCTACTCAAGGGTGTTTTGGAGGACCCGCTCTGGTCCATCCGTGCGGGGTTGACCTACAAGCAGGTTGAAGTCTGGGGATATGCCAGGGCTCAGTTGGGCCTGCCGTGGTTTTTACGTCGTCGACCTGGCCGTCCTGGACGGAAGTTGTTTCCACCGCTGTTGTTTCCGTTGGTCAAAAGCAAATGCTATTCGGGTGAAGGGGGGCTCACGTGTACGAAGGAGGGGCACTCGCATTGGCGTCGGATCCTGGACATGTCAGGGACCCCGCATGCGCTGGGCTGGAAAGTGGCCGCGAGGGGGACCCGCTCAGTTGTGCACGAAGCAGGAGTTTCACGTGAGATGTTCGACATTAATTGTGCCAGGAAGCATCTGACATAGACACTGTTGTCGCTGGAGGCCCCAGCGAATCCGTCTGCATGTATGTGCTGCCAGCGCAGCATGGACCCAGGGCTGCACGTAGTGACCGTGGACATCGACCAAGCTTTCGAGAGCTGCAAGGCCAGCTCAATCGTCACCGCATGGGACTATGTCGCACGTAAATATCGTGCGAGTGGAGGCCAGGAACGTCTTCTGATTTGCAGAGGAAAACGGTTCATCGCCAAACACGGAGCAGATGCGAGGCAGCATGGTCGTGGCTGGTGGGCTTTGTCGCTAACCATGCTTCGGAGGGCTTTAGCTATGGCTTCGTATCAGACCTTAGTGATGATGGGCGAGGTGGCTGTGGAAATGGCTGGGATGGCTATAGGTGGAGCGATGTCGGCTGCAGCGGTTTCGGCCAAGCTAGGTTCGGAAGAAGGTCGTGCCCGAGAAAGTGTCGTGGTGCCTGGACTTCCTGGATTTCAGTTTCCTGGGGATCCTAAAAAAACGATCAACTGGAGTCGCTATGTTGATGATATATTAGCTGGGAGTCTTGGTTTATGCGGTTCTTGTATGGTGTTGTATCTCCAAGGGGTTTTCGAGGAGCCCTTGAGTGTAGTATCTACTTCTGACGGAAGATCTGGGGTACCGTTTGATTGGATTGATTTTTCGTACCGGGTGGTGGGTTACAGCTTGCAGGTTATTCCAAAAAATGTGAACCGTCCATGGCTGTATCAATGGCCAGAGGTTCGTGAGCGGGCTCGGACTAATACCATTGCCTGGGTCGGTGCACTACCCACACCGTTCGGCGTCCTCCGAGGGATCCTGATTGGTCGTATGTTCCGTGCTCGTCGGTTGCAGCTGGGACGCCTCGCCACCCTGTTGCATATCCAAGAGTATGTTTTGGAGCTGTTCCTTCTTGGGTACCCCCAGTGCCTCCTGAGGGCGCTACTGCACTCCTTGCCCAACCATCCCGCCGTCCGTTTGGCTCGAGAAAGTCTCCGATCTTGGATTCGGGCCACCGCGGAGATTGACGGGCAGAAGGTTGGCCTCATGGGCAAGGGGGGTGCAGGCCGCGGGTTCCACGATGGGGGAAAAGGTCGCTCTCGGGAGGATCGTGACCGAGACAGGGATGACCACCGTGGCCAGCGGGATCGTGACCGTGATCGTGACCGACAGAGGGGCCGCCGTACCCGTTCGAGCTCCTCGTCAGGATCGAGGGACAACCACGAGGCGCGCCGTCTGGAGCGCCACAAGAGGTGGATGTACAAGCACGACCCGCCGCACGCCGCATTCATGGACCAGCGGGAGCAGGAGCTTCGTGACATCGAGGTTCGCCGCCAGGGGGAGATCATGGCGAGGGCAATGCAGGAGTCGATCGACCGCGCGCTCCAGGAGAACAGCATCGTGGCCCACACGCCTCCGCGTGCGGGTGGTACGGGTCCGCCGCCATCTCCAGGGACGTCCACGGCGGCGGGCCCAGCCCCGGCCCCGAGCGGGGGCGTGCTCCCAGGGGTAACCGGCACGGCTGATGACGGGGACCTCACGAACATCAAGCGTATGTTGGTGGAGACGCAGTTTGAGAACATCGTCGAGTTGGCGGACGGGAAGGAGTCTACGTTCAAGGAAGCGTTCTCCAGTTCCTGGGGCAATCGCAAGCTATCCCAGATAACGAGCAAGATTTTCAAGAAGCAGAAGATCACGGAGCCCAAGCGGAAGGATGAGAAGATCTCAGCTTTGTGGAAGTATTACCAGAATCTCACCTGAGGGACCGCGGAGAATCTCTTAGACATGTGTGAGACTGAGATCTATGCTCCAGAGGTGGGGCACTCTTTTGGGAAGAATCAGTTCGTGTTGTACATGATGACCTTTATCCTAGGGCTGATTGTTGGATATTCTTCATGTACTTCAGTCGGCTGTGGGTCGCCTATCTCAGAGTTTGTCTCCGCGATTTTCTACGAATATCGCGTGCTCAATGGGCAGGCGGCGCCGCTTTTGTTCCCGACTTTCTCACAAAAGATGGCAGGTAGTCTTGTGGCAGGTATTTCCGCCCTTGGGATCAACCAGAAGGAGGTGGGAGCAGCTGTCAGCACCGCTCTAGGCCGATAGCCAAGGTGAGTTTTCTTTTTTTGGTCCCCTCTCCCCTCCTCTCCTCCCCTCGCCTCTCTCTCCCTTCCCCCTCCCCTCCCCGCTCCAAAAAATCCCTTGGTGGGGATTGCCACTTGGGCCGTTGACGTCTCTCGTGCTCGTTTGGGTTCAGTGTGATGGGGCACTGTCTGTGTGCTTGGCCCCGACCTTGGGAGGTCTGTAGTTGGG